TATGATTGAAATCAGAGTAATTATTTTTATTTTATATTATCAGTGACTGCGCTATAACAATATAGGCTAAATGATAACTTATTATTATACAAGTCTTTATTGCAAATAGTTTTAAACAATATAGTTAAAATAATTTATAAATAATAGAAATATTCTAAAAATATATTAAGTAATAATTTTTTTAGTAATTTAATATATAATAAACAAGTGTTTAAATTATATTTATTTATAAATAATCAATACTAATTAACTGACTGTAAATTAAAAAATATTTAACTTATTTAATATTAATATAAATATTTATAAAATAGTAGAAATAATGAAAATATTTAACTTATTTATATTAATATAAATGTTTATAAAATAGTAAAAATAATGAAAAAATATATAAATATTAATAATAATTATATATTTAACTTAACTAAGTTGTTTTAAAATTTATAGCTTAGTACAAAAAACTTTATAAATTAATAAAGTTCAAACTAATAAAAATATTATCAAACTCTTACAATAAAATATATTTAAAAATAATAATTTTAATAAAGTCATTTTATTAATGATTATGAATAACTAATAATATCTTGAAATTAAACTTAAAGAAAAACTTGATAATAAATAATTTTATTAATAAATAATTTGAAGTTAATGTAAAGTATTTTATTAAGTAGTAAAAGATTTTGAAAATAAAGTTTAAAAATTTAAGAATGTTTTTAGATAACTATAAATTTTAAATAAAAGTAAAATTTTCATTTAATACTATCTATTAAATAAATATATATTTGTTATAACTTAAATATTAAGTATGTTAATTAATATACTACTAATTTTTAACTTAATTATAATTTTTAATTATCAAAAAATGTAAAGTCTAAAATTAAAAATGATTAAATTTATAAAATATAAAGAATTATAGTTTCAATTTAATTTAATTGAATTAATTTTAAAAAATTATAATAAAAATAAAAATATAATTATTATTATATACAAAGTAAAAATTAAGCAGATATTTTATTAAAAAATTTTATAAAATTTTTTTTCACATTATTTATTATTTTAAAATTTGAGTTTATACTAAAGTTTATAAGCTTTTTAGAAATAAAATTTAAAGTATCTTTATAAATAAATTTTATTAATAATTGAATATTTTTCTTAAAAAGTTACTGTATTTTGTAAATATTTCATTAATATAACTAGTTACTAATTGAAATTTTTATATTAGTAAACTTTATTAACATTTCACTGGATTTATTTAATTGAAAATATTAATATTTATTTAAAAAATAAAAATTGTTAAAAAGATGTAATATTTACTACTTTGAATTTTATATATTGTTATATATTTATAAATTAAAAAGTATGTATAAGTATTTATCTTTTAATAAAAAGATAAAAAGTGTTTTTGAAGTGTAATAAACTTACATTAAAAAATAATCAATTTGAAGATATATTATATACAAATTGAAAAATGTTAAAAAAGAAAAGAAAGAAAATACAAATATAAAATGAAGAAAATATGAACAATTTCAAAGTGAAAAAATAAAAAAAATAAAAGCTGAATTAAAAAAAATTTTAAAAACTTTGATAAAGAGTGTTTAAAATTTAAAAATGTAGCTCTTTCATCACATCTAAATTTTTATACTCTCTGTTTTTTACCATTTTTATTCTGCACATGAAATGTATGTATATACATATTTATATGTACAATAGAATGAAAAGATAGATGAAAGTATGTGTAATATAATGTGATAATTTTTTTAAAAACATTAAATGAGAGAAAAAGAAAAGAAAGGAAAAAACAGAAGCAGTATAATAATAAAAAAAATTCTTATAATTAAATAAAAATTTAGATATAAGTAAGTTAAAAATATAAAAAAAATAAATTATATATCTGCATTTTAATATAGATAGATATATATAAAAAGAGATGAAATCATTTATTCAAAATTTTATATCAGACCTCTAACTTGTTAAAAATCCAAAATTTCCATCTTAGTTAAGAGAATAAATAGTAAGAAAACATCTGTCATAATGATATAGACACAGAAAAGTTTAAGATGAAAAAAAAAAGAAAAGAAAAAACAATATAAGGCATTGCATTATAGATGAAACATATTCATCATCTATTCATTTCTAGCAACGTTGCCAATAGCTTCACTGAACAGACATAAAAATACAAAATTTAATGTATATAGAGTTGCTAATTGCTGATTGAGAATGATGATTTACAATGTTTTGTTATTTTCTCTCATTCTCTTTCTTTAAATAAATCACTTGATGTTCTGTTGCAGATATTTCAAAGTCACAATTCAGTAAGATTCTGAAGAGAAGCAAAATTTTTGTGATGGAAATATTAAAAGTGAAGAATATATAAAAGGTAAAAAATGTAAAAAAAAAATTGAACAGTTCCACAAACAGAATACACACTGATATGAAATTATCCCATCCAATCCCATCCTATTCAATGTACCCAAATACCATAGACAACAAAGAGAAACCAGGGTGCGATAGGTCGTGACTATTGGTAAGAATCACGTCAAGAATAATGGGAATGATAAAAATCCATCTCATAAGTACAGTCATCCAAATTAATTTGTCATATTTGTGATTCTCGCAAATGGGAGTAAATGAAAATGAAATGAAATGAAATGATTAGTCGTTCATGAACGCCAAGAAAGTCGTCTGCTGCAAAGAAGGATAAAATTAAAATAAATGGCTCAAGACCTGTAGGCAATCACCTGGAAGAAGAGATAAAGAAGGAATTTTGAAGTCAGGAAACAGGAGTGGTGTGGTTTTCAGCAGCAATGCTACATATATATATATATGTGTGTGTGTGTGTGTGTTGTGTGTGTGGTGTGTAATGGACGGTTTTATAGGTCATCGATGACTCGAAAGCGTCACAAATATTTTCTTCGTATCGTCGTGGTAATGTTGCTTCACACAGAGCGGAGCACAGAGAAGGGTGAGAAGGAGAGGCGTGACAGAAGGAAGGTTGGAGGGAAAGATTATGTTACACCAATTAATGACAAAGCAGATCCTCGTATATATATATATGTGTGTGTGTGTGCGTGTGTGCGTGCGTGCGTGCATGTGTGTGTGTGTGTACGTGTGTGCGTATGTGCGCGTGTGTATGCGTGTCTATGCGTGTATATACATAAAAATGCTTCTCGAACAGGCGATTTCCTTTTAAATTTGTTTGGTGGGTCGTTTTCAATGGCTATATATACATATACATATACATATATATATATATATATATATGAGTGCATTCTTTTCGTGTAAAAGAAGTGAGGCTATTCGGCTTTTGAAAAGGGATGACAAATATTAATATCGAAATAAGGGAGACATGATACAATGAAGAGGAACGCGAACAAGTATGGAAACGCGGTCTTCAGGGTATGCGGCTTGTCTGCATGGGATTAACAAGTGTCTGATTCGTATGCGTAAAGATCTTTTGTCTCTTGGGGAAGAAATTGGCATCCGCCGTGCCGGCCATTTCTGACATCTGGCGACGATGTTGCTGCTGTTGCTGCTGCTGCTGCTGCTGTTGTTGTTGTTGCTGCTGCTGTTGTTGTTGTTGTTGCTGCTGCTGCTGCTGTTGTTGTTGATGTTGATGTTGTTGTTGTTGTTGCTGCTGCTGTTGCACGTGAGCTGCGGCACTAGGGTTCATCGTAGCAAGTTGCTGTTGTGGCTGGAATTGGACTCCATTCTGGTCTAGTGCGTATGCTGCTGCGGCGGTTGTGGGTGTTTGCTGCTGCAAGTATTGGCCGGAGACGTTGGATGTGATGGGTGACATGCCCTGGAATTGGCCAGGGGATTGCCAGTTGTTCATCGACGCTGCTGGGGATGGCCCGGGAGAATTCTCGTCCTTCACGGACGGGCCTGTTGACGTTTGAGTTATACCCCCGGGGGCAACGATGGCGGACGGGGGCGCTTCCATAGCGTTTGGGATGGTTTTGAGGTGATTAAGGTGTCTTTCAAGAACAGTGAGGAGGCTCTGTCGAGTGAATGGCTTGGGGAGGACGTCGTTCATTCCTAAAGCGCTTTGAATCAGCATGGAGATTCATTCAAGATGCACAATTTAGAAATGGCTTATCCGAACCGTGATGGAAATAGAGTTCAATGTCACTACTTCGAATATTTGATGTCATGGCGATTATTGGTGTGGAGTCAACTCTCCTGATTACACTGCAGGCGGACACCCCATCCAGATTGGGCATGATAATGTCCATCAATATGAGGTCATACTTAGAGCCTTCCTGAATCTTATGAACAGCTTCCAGACCGTCGAGCTAGTATTACGTTAGAATGGAAACAAAGAACAATTTGAATAATAAAAAAAATCTACATACCGCATAATCGACAGTACAGCAAAACGAGAGCAAAAACTTTCCTCCAACTTGGCGACAAGTTTGATCATCCTCAACGAGGAGAATGCGCGGCGGAGAAACCCAGCCTGGGTTAACATACATGCTTTTCTTGCGACCATCCACATATTGCCGTCTTGGGTCATTAGGATCCAGCTCCTTTGGCGGGAAGGAGGAGTATGGCATGTTATTGACATGATCGCTGTACAAAGGCTCAATGCCATTGGGCGCACCGACAGGATAAACCATCTGTTCCAGTTCACCATTCAGCTTAGAGTAGCCTAGTGTTGAGCTTGAGCCAGCCGAAGTAGGGGGCCGTAGTGTCCCATTCCGTTGTGTCTGATCTAGAGGTGGTGTTTGTGCAGCTCCTGGAAGCCGACTCTGCATGTCACTCATTGACTCGAGACTACCCAAATTGAGTTGGATTTCGTTGCTCAGCTCGCTCAGGATTTTGGAAGCTTGTTGTAAAGGAGAGGCCGGGTCGTCATCGACATGGGCGACTTGGGAAGGGCTTAGATCTGATCCACCTGCGCCTTGGAATGTTACTGCTGCTGTTCTGCTTTCTCTTATGTGCCTCACATCCACGCTATGTAGGTAATTCATCATGTAGTGTAGAACCTGCTCATGGCTTAGCATTGTCTTCTGGGCTCTTCTAACTTCGGTTTGCATCATCTGATTTTCCATGGCCAATTGTGTAAAACGATCACTTAGTTGCTGGAACTGTTGGGCCTGGGCTACAAGCTGTTGATTCAGCATGTCGAACTGTTGGCTAGGGAACGATTCATCGGTCATCTGGGCCGGTTTTCGAGGAGCAGGGGCTTTCCTCCTGATATTATCCAACGATTCCTTGTTGTTGGCTTTAAACTCTGGGTGCTTAAACTCCCAGGCCTGGAGAAACCATGGCATTTAGTATTGGCATCGTTGCGAATAACATATATGGGGTCCATGTGATGCTCGAGAATTGAGACTTACATTAGGCCCGTAGGGCGATTGGCCAGACTCTTCGTTATTTTGGCGAACCTTGTGGAAGTCGTATTTGTTGAGTTGTCGGACGAAACTTGCGAAATTGCTGTGTTTGAAATGCTTTGGAAGGATTGATTTGGTGAATTTCTCGCACTAGAAGCAGTAGACAGGAGGCAGTCAGATTTCTAATGTCCATGATCCATTTCGGTTTGCTGCTTCCCTCTATGTGCGCCTCACCTCTAATACGACAAAGCTGTCGTTGTCATCTCCCCAGCGCACGATTTGCGAGTACGACGGGTCTTCGAGCATCCTATAAACAAACACACGCACGCACGCACACAAGGCAGAAAGTCAGAATATATTATTGAGAGAATAATCATAAACACTCATACACTGAGTTTTGGACCCAAAACTCCGTTAACTGCGATCGGGGAGGTATTTACTTGTAGAGTTTTCGAACCTAGAAGAGACGGACGCTCAAATTAGTAATGCAACATTCGCGAGAATAGATATAACACATATATACTATGACATATAATAATAAAAAAAGAATGAAAATAAACAGACAGAAGAGGGAGAGCGGAGGATAATCTCACAAAATCGCTAGAATTGCCCGCGGTGGTAGTACCCGCCGTTGGGGTACTGTCCAACGCCATGTTTAATTTAATGGCTCAAGGTACGATTGTGGCGACAGAAAAGATGAGGGAGGTTCTGGACCCCTGAGGAGATAAGATCACGATAAAAAGGGAATGAAAAATGAAAAATGAAACAGTGGAGAGCTCAATGAATTAAGTACCCAGTCACCAAACAATGGATAGGATTGGAAGAAGAGGTTTAAAGAAGGGTATTGGAAGGGTTGGTTAAAGAAGGAAAAGAGAGTTGGGAGAGCAAGGGAAAATTAAAATATAGTGAGAGGAGGGAAAAGAATGAAAGAAGAAGAAGAAGAAGAAGAAGAAGAACAAGAGAAGGAGAAGGAGGAGGAGGAGGAGAAGGAGGAGAAGGGGATTGGTTTGGTTGGGTGAGGGGAGGGGAGTTTGGAGTTGACTTGGTATGTGCTGGAAGTTAGTTTAGTGAGCGTGGGTAGTGCGGGTAGTGAGGGAGAGAGTCGTTAGTAAGTGAATGAGAATTGTTATGTTTGCAGAGTGCTTTTGAGTTCTTGCTGACACTGCTGAAGTGATTAAACAAACTATCTAGAGTCGGACCGAAAACTTTCAAGCCGCTAATTAGAGAGTCGGAGAGTCACCAACCAGAAGTCAGCGCAGATTTTCCGACAGGACAGGGTGAAGACGGGATCCAGAGCCTCATAAGCGTCTGGTCTTCAGACTCGGGCGGCAGATCAATTTAATATTATTATATGGGCCGAGGGTGAGTGAGCGGGTGTTTGCGTGTGCATGTATGTATATGCGTGTGTGCAGTTATGCTGGGTGGCTGGCGATAGGTGGTAAATAGTGCTGCTGCTGCTGTACTAGAGAAGATGGCAGAGCAGGGACCAGGTGGGGTTGTACAACAACTTGGAACAGTCGACCAGATGATGGGGATGGTGATGAGGAGGGGCGTAGGAGATTTGGGATGAAGTGGTGGTGGTCGTCGTCCTGCTGGTTGGGGGGGAGTGGTGATAGTGGTGGGCAACGGCAGGCCACGGGAGGAAGAAGATGAAGACAATTGGTGAAGATGGCTGTTGATCACAACGACGGGCATTGGAAAGCAAACGAAAGAAAAAGGAGAAGAAGAAGAAGAAGAAGAAGAAGGGCGGGGATCAAGGAAAGACAAGGCTATTATTATTCTCTATTTCAATAATAATAGCTTCATGTCGGGTAGTGGTAGTGGTGGTGGTTGTAGTGGTGGTAGCGGTTGTAGCGGTTGTATTGGGGCCGTGTGTTAATTAATAGTGCATCAGTCATCAGTTAAGTAAGGTAGTGAGCGAACAAACTGCTAAAATGAAAATGAAAATTAAAAAAAATAAAAAATAAAAAAATAAAAAATAAAAAAATAAAAAATAAAATAAAAAAAACCACAAGTACGAATAATATTACGAGGATGAGAAATAGAGAAGGGGACCTCTGGGATTAAAGATGCAAAAAGCAGAACGGAATTCAAGCAACCGGGAATTAATCACAACTAATAGCAGCGAGGAAATATTAATTAACAAAGAGGAAATACTCCACATTTTGCTCACGGATTGCTCGGGAACTGTCAATGCTGAGCAGCCGCTACAAATGGAAAAGATGTAGTTAATTATGATAAAATATATAATAACTTAACTAGTTAACGTCAGCCAACTAAGTAATAATTGGAAACAGCCCAGTAGTTAGTTAATAATGCATTAAAAATATGAATAACTAGCCCCAAGTAGCCATGGACAGCTATCCTTCTTCCAGGCCCTCTCCCATATCTTATTTTACGTGCTTGGACTCTGGAGAAATATTCTCCTTCATCTCCAAATCATGGACGTTTTACCTTCCCATATTAACTGTCGTCAAACTCCGAGAACAACAAAATTGATTATCTGGTACATATATAGTTATCTATATAACTAAGGCTCCATCTATTCCTAGTGAACTGTGCCTAACGAGGGGCTCTAAGTCCAACGATAACGACCGAAGGTTGCCCTTCTCATCCGGGCTCGGCTCCACACATGAACAAGAAAGATGGCAAATATTTAGGATAAAGTAAATAAAACTTTGCAAAAATCCTGTTTTCTTTTCTTTTCTTTTCTTTTTCTTTTTATTTTTTCGTTTCCTTCACACCCCCCCCCCCCCCCACTTCTTCAATTCTTTAGGTACCTTGGTTACGCAGGTATGTATGGGCACATTGGTCCGCCCTCTTCACGTAGTTCATGATACCCAAGTAGCTGTAAGACGGGGTAGCTATCAACTGTGCATTATTTGCATTACTTTATGTGAAAAGAGAGGGGGAGAGAGTTATCCGTCTAAACGCCCAGTTTTATTACCTACCTAAGTACACTCAGTTAAATAGTTATACAAGTTCTTTTCTCACTTTTCGCCTCCTTTCTCCCTCCTCCCCGACTGCTGCCGTCAAATTTAAGTGACGTGCACTAGCTAAAAGAGACGGTGGGTCGGATGGGTCCCAATTTGGCGACAAGTAGCGATGCAGATGCCAGGGAGGCAAAAGTGATTTAAGGGATGAGGAAACAGCATATGCAATATTACATACAAATAACTAACCAGGTCAAGTGGATGAAGGATTGGATCGAGAGGTCAGAGTACGAGAGGGTACGAATTTCAAAATAAAATCCAGTACCTCGAGAGAATACACACGGTTTGCGATACGGGTCGTCCAGGGGTCTGTAATTTTGAGTATATTCCAACAACCCCACTCTGTCCAATTGAATATATGATCCTCCTCAAGAAATTCTGCAGATTGCATGCTGTATCACATACCAAGGATCAATGCCCTTCTCTCAACCCCACGACAGGCACCTTGTAGCCATCATTCATTTCCCTTCCCCTGTTTATTTAAAAAAGGAAAGAAAAACATGCAGGAAACTTTCACTTTCCAACGGCACATGAGGAGAGACCACGTTAACGGAAGCCTGATTGACTTCATGCACAGGTGAAACTGCAAAAGGGGAAGAACGGGGAAAATCAGGGTTGGTTAGGGCTGAAGATCGTCCTACATTCGACATCCAACTAAATCTGAGTGTTGATTCATCATGCAGAGATTTTATCGGAGTAAATAAAGTCATGGTGATCATAGATATCAGATCAAGACAGCCGTGGCCAAGGAAAACGCCAGTTTTCCAACCTTTTCCCAAATGAAAAGGGGGGAGAAAGAAAAAAAAATATGCGAATGAAATGAAATAGGTTGGCTGTTTCGAGTGATCGGAGCAGGCAGGGAGTAGGTACGTGCATAACTCTCTCTCTTGGATATTATTTTGCCTTTTAGGTGATAAGATATCGGGAAGATCGACGTTGTTTTTGCCGTAGATATGTGGGTTAACTAACGATTTGCACGCAGTCGAATGCTCACATCTTGAAGTTATGATCCCTGCACCTTTCGTCATCGATCAACCATGTCGCCGTCATCATCATCATATAACAAACGGGCGTACAGTTGAATGTTGGTTTTAAGAAAGTTGAACATGATTTGAAAATTCGACCCGAAAAATCTTGAGCTGGTTTAAACTTTCAGACCATGACCCCCATTAAAACTACATTCACTAGTCATATTTCACAACATGTTCTCTGTATGCTCCTGGTGGTATTGATTTTGATCATATATCTCAGGCCCTTATCCTTATCCTTAAACTAACTCTAATCCTACCCCTTAGTTCTAATCCTAACCAGACCTAACCATAACCAACCCTAACCCTGGTTTCGAGTGTTGGTTGTAGGGCAGAGTTATGTTAGAGTGTGGTTATTTTGAGGGGGAACCAGAGTTGATCAAGGTTTTAAAAAAAAGTGGGCCCAATTTATAAACCAACATTCGCCTGTAATTAGCCCACATCATGACAAAACAACCCCCCTGCCAAACGAAAAATCGAAAAAAAAAAAAAAAAAAAACATCTGGGAAGTAAAATGCCTAGTCAAAAATCTCCCCTGACGCAAAAGCACAACTTTAAAGGAAACAGAAGGGTAAAACACATTCACATTCCACCATAACTAAGCGATACACCCGACAGCGTCATCTTCCTTGTTTCACCGTTTAGATTTACCCCTTTTTCCCACCCCCTCCCCAATTAGAAGTATTGTCCTTCTTCCACTAAAAATACAACCCCGCCTTCTACAAGTTCCAGACCACGCTTCTGACGAAGGCCAGACCGGGCAAACTTTATTTAACTATCCTCGAGGTTCACAGTAGTACACAGAAGCGAGCGATTGTTTGACACTATGTGTCGGGAAAAATTTGTTTACATGATGATTTTCTTGGTGAGGATTGGGAGGAGGAGAAAGTTTGACTATTTACTTAAAACTTTCCCTTTCTCCTGTTGAACCTATAATTAACTGCTTCGTAACTAATAAGTCAATGTCTTGGTAAATAATCATACGGGCAGCCATTGAGTGAACTGAATTGTGGTTGTTGTATGTGATTCTCTTCTTCTCAAGCCACAATTTCCCCGGATTTACTAGGAACTTTAAATATTCTGAAGAAGTTCGAGAAAGTTTATCTCTCATATCTAGAGAAACATTGTGTATGTCTGTCGATTTATTCTAGAAATGTTTCCTTTGACATTTCCTTTCTTCATTCGATTGGTGAGATATTCTCATCACATATACCGGATCCATTCCTTGCCCACGAAGGACGGAGTAGAGCCATGATCAATGAGAAAAAAAAAAAATTTAAAAAAATAAACGATCTAAAATCAAGAGGGGAAAAGAAAATGGGAAATGAAAAGCTCCTACAGGATTCAGTTGGCAACAAAACTTGCTGCGGGATGTGACTTGCTTTAACGAAATGAACTTTGGAAATCGAGGCCGAATTTGCAACGCTTCCACTCACATAACTAGTTATAGTTACCCTTACCTATCGCCTACGGCACACTCCCTTCTATCTCGCTCCAACCAACCTCAACTGCAGAGCCTCATTCTCCCGCCAGGATGCACAGTAAGGAAAATGAAAAGACGGGGATTAAAAAAAGAAAAGTTACTTTTCTACACATTGATAGTTCAATTACGTATATTTTTGCGGAAGTATGTGACAGATCAATTTGTTCTTCTGTCAGGCGCTCACGCTCAACTAGATGGTATCCTCGTTCCATGGAACCGCCCGCCAATAGAAAAAGGGGGATCTTGAGATCATACTGTCATATATTGCATACCTTGGTTCAAGTAGGGTGTGAATGTTTAAATTTTCTCAAAAAGCTAACCTTGATTGATGATAGTGAAAGCAGTCAACCAGGAACACATGCATCCATAGTTTTGGAGGTGTGGAATATTCTTTCTGGGTGGATAGTTAGGCTCGTATATAGGGACTTATAAGAGATAAGTGGTAGAAAGAAAAGTTTTTAACGCATGTGTAATAACATATGATGTCAATGAGAATTTGGAATATTGTGCATACCAGTATATACTGACCATGGGGATCCCGTTGCAATAGATAGTGGAAGCATTACATTTGAAAGGAGAAAGAAAAATGCCTTAGGAGATTAATTCTCCCCAAGTAGGTACATGTGCATCGACAAGTATGTTCTCTATTATAAAGCGTCATTCATATTAATATCATGGCGTCAACCATGGCGTAAACAACTACGTCCTACATACTCTAACTATCAGATGTCATGAGCTAATGCAATCATTGTATAAGTTTGCATGCTTTGCGTGGTTAGATCACAGATCCAAGTGTGAAAATCAATTTTTTTTTTTCGGTGGGTCCCTGGGAGTACTCCGGTCAAGGGTAGCTTGTTGGTGTACTCCAGATAGTTCGCATCGTGCAGTGAGGCAGTGTTCAAGTCGACCCTCTTTAAGTTCCTGGACAAAAACGGCCCTTAGGTCTTGTTCTGTGTATCATACACCAAGCACCATACACTGGAACAAGAAGATTTTGATCATTGGCAAGAATTGGATAGTTAAGTCGGATAACTGGCGAACTGATCATTCCTCCAAGGTTCATCAAAGGAGGGGAAGGACGAGGGATAGCGGCAGTGTGGTTGATGGGCTAAGAGAGGAGGTTGATGATCAATGTTGGCGGGGTGGTGTGGATGGAGGTCTGTGTGTTCAACCAACTAGTTGTAGATTCTGGAAACAGAAAAACAGGGAAATAGTCTGATAGATAGATGGAGTTACTCCTGTTCCCCTGAGTTCCTGTTCAATTACTAGGTTCTCTTTCTTGATTTTTTTTTTTCCATCCTTGCTTGATAGGTGGTGCGGCCTTCCTTGCATTCGCCAAAGGAGGGGTGGGGACGGAAGAAGATAAGGTGAGAAAAAGGTCAGAGGGGTGGAAGCTGGATAATTTGGGCATCTGTCGCTCATTTCCCCGGATCTGTGTGACTGCTTTAGCTGCTTGATTTTGAGACTAACTTCGAGTAGAGTAACATTCTTGGACATCTCCAGAGATGTGAAGGAGGGACGGCAGAAGGGTTCAATTCCCTAAAGCCACTTATTTTCTCTGACCAGCCGTCGGGTGCCTTCACTATTTTTAGAGTTAACAAGTCCTGGACCCTTCCATGCGATAAGGCTTCTTTAAGATTCAGACTGGATTTCCAAACAAGAGCTAATACCAGATTTGGGAGCCAGTAACAATGGTGCAATGTCGCTTCTTTTCTTTGGCGTGACTATCAGTAGAGAAGTACGCCTGTTCAGGAGAAAACGCAAGGCCTCCGTTCTCCGTTCTCCGTACAAAGTGGCGTAAGTTTGTGACTTGCGTAATAACGCCGCCCCCCAGACCAACCCGCAGAAAACTGAAATAGGTAGTTATACCTAAGTAAGGAACAAGGTTCTGAGACCACGTTTTCCTCAGGGGATTTATGTGAATCTAATGAAACGTGGTTGTATTTGCAATCTGGCCCTTCAGAATCATCCTGTGAAATGCAGCTATCCCCAACGAGCAACCACTTAGGTTTTGCCGATTCCTGCGGGGAAAATGGCAATGTGCTTTTTGGAGCCAAGCAGCGCCTTTGGGCGATCATCTGGGGTATTGTTGGCGTGCCAGCCTGAATGTCAATATCGACCCATCAGAAGGGCTAACTGGAATCACGAGCGCGGTTCTCTGGGTCAATCAACGGCTGCCACAGCTATTGCAACCAATCTGCAGCCTGCGTTTACCACTTCATCGCGGGGAAAGATTTGAAGAAATCTTGATGGCCCCAATTCACCTTTACTTTTGGCTTGGCAGATCATATGAGCAAAACGGGATTTTCAACAGGATGGATACTTTGATGTGAACTTGAGTTGGAACGACCTTCCCTTAGTTAGTTGAATGAAGGAAACGCCAAGTTAGCAAGCACATGAAGAATGTGAGATCGTATCCCTAACAATACGAGAAGAAGAACTCCAGGCGGCCCAAAGGACCAACTGAAAATAGATGAAAGTAAACTTGGTGTCTCCCAAATGCGTACCGGAGGTCATCCACGTCGCAACTAGTTGACGAATCACACAAAGTCAAAAGCGCCTCCGCAGTTAAGATGGGAGAGTATTCATCCCATTCAATGACTTATTATCTGTCGAAGATATATGATTGCCTTTGTTGCAGATCAAGGTCGTTTGTGTGTCCATTGAGAATTTGCGATGAGCGGTTTAAGTTCTTATCATGAATATGGGGGAGAAGAAAATCAGTTGGGCGGTTTGGTTGGGCGATTGGTTGGATTGGTTGGATTGGTTCCTGGAACAACAAAGACCCACTCCCGACGGCCTTACGGAGCCTCGACGTTCACAACTTAACTTTCTAACCAGCAGACACTTCGCAAGCCCCAGTTGTATGATCGAGTGTAGTCCAAATGACCCACTGATCTTCACTCTTATCAATATTTACACTTCTCCATAATTATGTTTGCAGCCAGACGTTTCGCCGGCAGAACTGTTCCCCGCGCTGGCCAAGCCGCTGCTCTATTCCACAGCACTCCCCCTTCTTTCGTAAGAGTTGGAGATGAGGTGCCAGACCACATGGTTCTGTTTGAGAACTTACCCAGCAATAAGATCAATTTGGCCAAGGAGCTGACGGGAAAGGGATTGATTATTGGAACCCCTGGGGCGTTTAGTAAGTAAAGTGCCTGTACTTTATTAGTCCCTTTGAAGGAATCGGATATTTTGTCCCATAAGGCACATCAATCGATATAACCAGCTTCACTGGAATTGATATCTGTAGATATTTGAACAAAAGAATATTCATTGTTTTTTTCTTCTATCTGCTTTAGTTTTTCCTTGCGATAGGCTAACAATATTAATAGGCCCCGCATGTTCCGCATCGCACGTTCCTGGCTTCATCAAACACCAGAAGCTGAGGGACGCTGGTAGGGTGTTTGTGGTTTCTGTCAATGATCCATTTGTGTAAGGAACCCTCACTTGTATATGGAGGGAAGCTATCCTCAATCCTTCGACGGCATTAATCCCTCTTTTGGCCATATCGTTCAGGAAAAAACTGACACTTGATTCCTCCGAATATAGAACCGGTGCGTGGTCGCGGATGATTGACCCTCAACAAACGAGCGGTGTATGTGGCGTGTCTCAACCCCATAATGCAATGTGCTTGTTGCATATTCTATTTTTAATGTAGCTGACATACGAACTATCATATTCTAGATCCGATTCCTGGCAGATCCCATGGGAAAGTTTACCAAAGCTCTGGATCTGGGCTTCGATGCTAAGGCGATTTTCGGGAACATTAGGAGCAAGCGGTATGTGCTGGTGATTGAGGATGGTAAGGTTAAGAAGACTTTTATCGAACCTGATAACACGGGTCTTAGTGGTAAGAAATTCCAGGGTCGTCGATTTTTCAGGGGATAGGATTTTTTTGCTAACAAGGCCTTACAATACAATAGTTTCCACGGCGGAGAATGTTTTGGGATAGATGAATGCGGTCCCCGTGAAGGGTATCTGGGCCCGTATTCTGATTACCAATCTCTCACTGCAATGCTAGAATGCCACCTTAAAAGGAATGAGGCTGTTGGTGTATGTATTTGGAATAATACATATTTCATTGGCACCCCTAGCCTATATGCCAGAGTAATTTCTTAAACCTACATAGCATCCCGTTAATCTTTGCCTTGAAGGATATAGAAACAGTATTTCCCAAACGCCGAACCAAGTGTATCCATATAAAAGTAGTGTAAAAGTAAAACAAGAGTACAAGGTGTATCTCAAAGATATTCACAAATCAAATACCTCCACCGCTATCCCGCGTGCGTTGTGCCTCAAACCCCGAATTTTGGATGCAATTCCGCAGTTTGTCCATTCTCCCATTGATCAAGACTGTGCCTTCTGTTCGTTCTCCCATTGTTCCGGCGTATAGCATTTGGGCGTCCAGGCGTGGATAGCTGCGATTTCTGCCTTGAGAACGGAGTTGACGAGCCGATGTCTGGCGAGCATGGTTTTCTTATCGAATTGCCGGGAAACTATGATTGCCTGGAACGCCTGCCCGCAGCCTCCTATGTAAACGGCGGAAACAAAAACGAAATTGTAGTCAGCCTTAAAAGTATCTACGTAAAATGCATTCATGGATGCCGGTAATTATTGTATGACCGTGCTTTGCACGCAAAGCGCGCAAATGCGGGATGGGATTTTGAATTCTGGTGGCACATGGTATACCTGACATATCCTCAATTTCCACATGCTGAGCGTCTAGCTTGGCAATCAGCGTGTCCTTTATAGAAGCGGCAGAGACACCTGATGTGTTTGCCGTATCTGTCATGGAGGTGTTGAGGGCGCTGCGAACGCCAGCTGTGAAGTAGAAAGGTCTGTGCTGACGGATGAGGTTGAAACAGCTTCTGCTGAAATTGGTCGGACGGAGGAACATATAGGAATGGTTGATCTAAATAATAAAGGAAATAAGAAGGAGTGTGGGGATTAGGCTTAGGATGCCAATAATAGGCATCAATTATATATTAATTTGCCGCTTTCCTTCTTGTTATCTTGATCTAATTACTCCGTTTTGACCGCAGGAACTTGATGCCAAAAAATCATTTTGGGAGACTTCACGAAATTGGTCAGCAAATGTCAAGTCGGGTAAACTAGTTATAGAATTGTGGCTGGTGAATTGACTGATGCCGTTGTGGCTGAAGCTTTAGCTACGGGTGGCTTGCGCGGGGAAAATTGATTCACCAAAGGAACTGCAGATCAAATTTAACATCTCAATTCCTTCATCCCTTCCGAGAATACAACTTGTTGATGTATCAACAAGAACTCAACAAGGTCAATGATACGGCCTGCTTTGAGGAACATTTCAACGATGTCAAGCTTCAGTTCATCCTCGTGCTCCCCGTTCACCAGAGCAGTGGTGAACTCGATGAAGAAGCTGTAAGGTCACCCAGCAATAATGCGCCGCTTTGATGTTTTGTGTTATGCCATTGGCTTACACTTCTCATTTGCGGAAGATACCCAGAACAATTAGCCGATAAATCATTTGATAATACTGGCTGTGAGTTAACAAACTGCTGTGGGAACCTGCTGCCATTGACCAGGGTTGCTTACGTCGATTACTCGTAGTGCTCCTGGAATCCCCATTTAATTTCGCGAAGCAGCAGAATAATTCAGTCTTATTGACTATTGACTTGACGAGGGCTGTGGCTGATGAAGCAATTGAGCGTGGGGATTCCATTATCATCGCATATCGTACGTGAACCTCCCTAAAAGAATATCTATGTTGGCAGCCATTCGCTCATGACCTTGGAACACACCTCCGGGTCCCGTTACGGAATAGACCCAATCATCTTCCGGGGTTTCAAGTCCCTGACTTTAAGCGATCCTCAACAAGACTCTCTTCTCCGCCTCGCCCAAAATGGCATAAGCGTCTATAGCCCTCACACAGCCGTAGACTCGGTTCCTGGGGGGATGGCAGATTGGCTCTTAGATATTGTCACAGGCCCTGAAGGGATTTCAGGTGACCAGATCTCACATACTCGGAGCATAATCCATCCCGAAATAAATCCACCTCCTGGGTTTGAGAATGCGGGCATGGGCCGAATAGCCAAGCTTGAGAAACCTGGCCAATTGCAGTCAATCATCAACAGACTTATCTTAAAGTTAGATAAACCTAGCGGTATCCCAGTTGCATTGCCACAGGGAAAGAGGATACATGAAATGACCAACATCCGCACCATAGCTACATGTCCCGGTTCCGGCTCGTCGATCCTGATGAATAATAGGAAACCCGTTGCGGACGTGTTGGTCACGGGTGAGATGAGCCATCATGATGCACTGGCAGCAATTGAGAATAGGGCTGTTGTAATTTCTGTTTTTCATTCGAATTCTGAGCGCGGCTATCTGCGGGCAGTTATGCAACCGAAGTTGGAAGCGGCGCTGCGGGGTGAGTGGGATGCGGTACGTGCGGAAGAAGCTTGCTCGCTGGAGGGGAATGATCGCGATAGGTATTTGAGAGATTGGCTGAGTGATGCAATTTTTACCGTTAGTGTTAGTGAGAGGGATCAGGATCCTTACGAAGTTAGGGCAAAAGAGGATTGATACGCTCCCTTCTGGATTGGGTCGTCAATTTCAACAAAATTTTGGGGTGAGCCGCCAAAATTCAGACCATTGTACCCAGTAGAGCATGCTTTGTTTAAGCCAATGGGGAGCATCTCGAAGGATGCTTTCAACATATTTTGAACATAGGTAAATTTCTAGGATCTAAATGCAATGTGCATCCACAAACGGGAATCGATTATATTTCCAATATCTCTTCAATAGCGAATAACTATATACAGATCATTAAAAAAAAATGAACTTGATACATGTTGGTTACCCGAGCGGAATTAGCTTAATAGCACTCTAATCTCCCCTGTTGTCCTGGGGAATAAGGAGCGCAATCTCCAGTTCTCCACCCGAGCCTCTTCAACTTCTACTATTTCTCCTTTTGAATCCTCACCATCCCCAACCACGGCTTTCCCACTTGCCTCATCCGCCCCCAGTATCATACCCTCAACAAACTCAAAATCAATACAGAAAGACTCCACGGCTTCCTCCGTAACACTCTTCACCAGTGCGGGGCTGTGGATTGCTTTCAGGTTCTCGGTTGCATCGACTAGTGCTGAAGGTAGGAAATCATCAAGTTGCTGGCTAATTGCAGATAAGGCCGCGGGTTGGAATTCGGGCAATGAGGGGATGGTTGCCAGATCTGGAGGGTGTTGCGACGGTATCTCCGGAGGAGCTGTGCCAGGAGAGGGTGGGGAGGAAGAGGGTGGTGGCGGTGTGAATGGTTTTAGCGCAGTGAGAAGGACATGTAGGCCGGATGTGTCCAGGAGGAAGTTATGTTGGATTTCGAGAAGGTTATTTCTTAAGGTTGATAGAGTGCTGGAGATTGGATGTAGATGAGTGACGCAGGCGAACTGATACGGTGATATGACTGCCCGGACTGAGAGGAGGCAATTAACTTGGAAAATAGCCTGTGAAGTTGTGTTGGATAGGTTGCTCAAAGATGTCTTGGCCAGTTCCAAAAACGGGTCTAAGGAGGCTCGGATGATTGGTGTGAAATTATTTTCGCCAGATGCGTTGCTTGTAAGTTCGTGTCCGAAGGAGGAGTCGTAAGCTTTCATTAAAGAGGCAAGGTTATCAAGGGCGTCAGTGAGGAATTGGGGGGTGCTAAGGTCAGTGGGAGGTGTGAGGATTGAAGGTTCAGCTGAAAGCACAGCTATTTGATCCTGCATCAGGGCCTGGAAGTGGTTGAATGAAAATTGCTGTAACGCAGCGATCGATGTCACCAAGCCTGATTCCTGCCCGATAAGCCTCGAAAATGTGTTCTCATAGAAACCTAGAAGATTAAAGATTTTGTACAATGTAACGGGATCCTCATGGCCTTGTAGAACCAGTTCAACCCTCTGACGCAAGGAACGCGCCACCCCATTCAAATCCCGGGTAACAAGGTTAGTCAGTGCTTTCCTCCCATCAAACACCACTTCTTCCCCGTCGACGCGTGACCACGGCTCGCTATTTACGCCAGCTTGAATACCTTTTGCAAGTTCCCCGCCATCCCCAATGAAAAGAGCTTCCAGAGCCTCTCTTTCCGATACGGCAGCTGAATGTACCCATGCTAGCATGTCTCCAACGTAGCGCAAAGGGTCATGTGCAGAAAACTCAATTGGTTTGGCTGCCCTGTCACCATCCTGGCCGGGGCCAACATCTGTAAGCGCAATATGAAAAGAATCCGAAAGGATAAACTCTCTCGCCTCAGCAAAGAAATTGAGGCAGCTGTGAAAGAGGCTAGGTCTTTCCGCCAGTACTCGGAGCGCACGCCTTATCGAACTACTGATTTGGGGATCCTCTAGGTTCAAGGACTTGAACTCCTTCTGTATCCACTTGTAGAGTTTCTGAAATGCCGAATTCAATTTTTTCGAGCTTTGTTCCAATATTTCTAGCCCCAGGTGCTGGTTGTCACTTCCCAGTAACACTTCGCAATCCTTGTGTATCTGTTTCATGCGTGCGAGAGCATTGTAAAACCTATCATCAACCGGTTCTGCAGACGAGGTAAGGGATATAAGTTCATCCTCAGACATAGTAAAATGCTTGCTGAATGCTTCAAGCAACTTATGCTTGGTTTCGACCTCTTGTCGCTGGTTCATCAACGTGGCTGCTTCCTCGAGCACTGGGGCCGTCTCCTGCGTTGCCAGTGCGATGTGCCTGCGCATCTCGTCACACACGTTATTGAGACTGGAGATTACCGTCCCAATTCGCGTCAGTTGCTTCGTAATAGCACAGTTAGCATATCTCCGTATCGCAAATGAGCAGTTTTGTTAACCCTGTACCTCTGCAACCTTGCCGAAATCCTGTACGATTTTGCCATTGCTGTCAATAACTTCCTTTTGCACTTCAAGTCTTAACTGCCTTCTCATCTCCGGCGTATTCTTAACCCCCCTGTCATCTAAAATTTCTAAGGCGTCTCGTATGTCCGAGTCCGCATATGATGTCGAAAGGACACTATTGAGCTTGTTGGAGAGTGCCGTAGAACGGGGAATAATAGCATCGGTTGGGGATAACGGAGACTCCAGCCCACCGTTAGATCCGGGATTTGTTGTCCCTGAGGACTTGGATAAATAGTTCGACATATCTACGACTAAGGGGTTTTGATATGGTTCTACTCGCCGCCGTTGAACATTTGTCGGTCAATATCTTGTGTTCATATGCCCTCCGGGTTAAAGTTGTTCCGATGAACTCTCCGAAAACGAAGAAATCACAACAAGGATTCATGAAACATGACAACACAGTCTTCTTCCGTCAGCCATTCGGAGCTTACCATTAAGCATTTGTGTCTAAAAAAGTCCTTGTATATTTTATGCACTTGATATTGCATCAGGAAGTTTGCTCTGACAAGACGGCAATGGATGCTACATCACCAATGGATACACCTCTCATATCTCCGTCTAAAGCACGGCAAGCCGCATCCCTAGCGAAGGACTGGGCATACATCAACAGTTGGCTTAACCGGAAATATTCGCCGAATCCTGTGCCACACTTTGAACGAAACGAAGATACCCTTAAGACTTTACTCGCACTTGCAGTGGCTAATGATGCTGGAGATGACGAAGAGGCTCTCCTTCATGCAGCGCGAGAAGAAACAATTCGCAATCTCTTATCCCAAGAAGAAGCCAACCCAGATTCCCAAACAGAACTCCTCGATATTATAGAGTCAAGTCTGGATGATAAGGGGGCTAAAGTTTTAGACGAGCTCGCTGAAACCGCAGTGTTGCTGGGGACGTTTACAACTGATATTGGAGAACTTAACCATCGGATTGTGGACCTTACAAGGGAGGAATTTGATGTTGCTGAGCAAGTGCGCAAAATAGAACTGTTACAGTCCTACCTTGGGAAGGAACTTCAGGCTCTTCGTGCACAGATGGAAGAGCTGAAGAACGAGCAGAGATATGAGACTCCTGCAGATTTGCCTTCCCAGACGGCTGATTGGATGAGGGGAACGAAGCTACTTAGCGCAAAGGTTGAGGAATACCGGGACAGAATTTCAACTTTTGAAAAGATTGGAAGAGACAAAGGACTACGAATCGAGGATATTATGGTCGAGGAAGAAAGTGCGGTTAGGTTGAGAGAGAAGGTAAAGACGCTGGAAGGCAAAGTGAAAATGTTTCATGGGTTACCACCTAATGTCCAGGAAGCGAACAAGGAACTAGAACGAGTTGAGGAAGACTACCTAAACCTTGTCCGCAGAAGAGATACTATGTTCGAGAATTTGGCGGATCACGAGAGGGTTTAGTACTACCGATCAAAGGCCATCGACTACTGTTACACGGGAAAAATATAACGCAAAAGATGTTTCAACAGCAATCTCGTTTTCAATTTGTCATTCCTTTGTATACAAACATTATCATATATACAGGTCGTGAAAGAGAAGCCAATTCAATTTTCATCGACAACGAACATCATCCCGAATTAGCGACTGCTTATTTGTCCATACCCAAAGCGCCCTTCACTTTGTCGCCACTATAAACGAGACTGATTAGCATGGTCTTTACAGGGGTCAGGAAGGTCATCGTGTTTCGGTGGGCCTTACATAGATTCGGTAGCTCCGCCTCGTTGGTAATCTGAGGCCCGTTGAGTTTTGTCAAAGACATCTTGGCCGGCGCTCTTATCATGATCGGGTTGCACTCCTCTGCAATGATTGTAAGCATACGACAACAACGTCAAGGTGGAATGGGGTTCTGGAAACTGACCGGGCAATGCGATCGCCCGTGTCGGTGAAAGCCTCCTTAACTTTCTGCTGAGTTGACTTGGTTGAATCGGGAGTGATCTCCTCCTTGGCCTCTGATGTACACACGTCAGCCTTGAACTGTACGGGAAGAATGGCTATGTCATTTGATTAATGGCAACGTACTGGTTGAGAAATCTTTGCGTCCTGCGTCAGACATGATTGCGGCGTTTGAAAGTGTTGCTTGATTTGAAAAGAGTTATAAATAGTTTGTTATAAGATTGGATCGTTTGTGTAGATTGGAAGTGTGTTGGTTAGATGGAAAAGATAGAACAATCTCTGAGAGATTTTACTCCTCTTTATGTAACATTTCAAAGCCTACGGTTATGGGCCCTCAACCGGCGGCATGACGTTACCTTAACATGATGTCAGGAGGCGCAAACAGGGCTTCATGTTTAAGCTTCTGTGAGATCCCAGGTTCACCTTGTACTAAGATCCTTGATTGCTACTACGCGCGGCGTTGTTCTTTCAAGATTTCGGTTAGTTTTCAGGAGACCGTGACGAAATCGAAGCTGTCCTGTTATTGGTGATGTCACAATGACGAGTTTTAACGGGCAGAGTAGGTTACCTTTTCGGAATATCAATATTCCGTAGGAATGACGCTCAAGTCCCATTTGATGAAGGCAATATGAAGGCGGTGAAGTTGGGCATCTTCATCATCTGCAAGTGACACCTCATTCAACTCGAGTCATCACCATCTAATTTTCATCTCATTCTTTTCCCAACATTTCAGCTACGATCATGATTCATCACAGTGCCGTGTTAAAATGCTCTATCAGCTTCCTTTGCTTCTGAACCATTTTGGAGCTTCTCGATTTACTTACATCATACGCATTTGTCTTTAATAAATTGCTCTTCTTGTTTTAAAACCACGAGTTCATGTCGAGTTCGGAGGCCGCATCAACGTGGGATTTTACTCCTGTCATCAACCTTATTTACTCGTTTTCCAATAACAGCCAGCCCACGTCCCTGACAGAGCAAGCTACAATTGCTCCGTCATTATCCTTCCCCGACCACAATACTGGACGAGATGGATGTCAACCGCTCGGGGATTTTGGACCCCTTTGGGATTTACTATCTGGGGGTCGGCCTCCGGATGCTAACAATGCCACTGATAATATTCAACTAGCTTCTCAGAGTGCTAATCTGAGTCAGGAAAAATACCATCTCCGTCCACATGATGCTAGCGAACAAGAGGTGCTAGCTGGAGCGACTGGGAACACAACTGACACGCCAAAAGTCCGAATTCTACTGCAAAAGAGAGTAGTAGAAAACATCAAAAAGAAGCCCCGCATCCGGCCCTCTATTTTCCCACTTACTAAAGTTGACGATGATGACAAAATTCCTCCTGGACCTAATCTGCGCCCCGCTATTCCTCTCTCGATACTACGGAACCCTAATCCAGCTGTTCTTAACGAAGCCATCTCAACCCCGCTTCCCCCGACAACCCCGCCGTGTTACAACAAATTATCTAGTCCCAAGTCTGGCAGGTGCATCATTGAACCTATTCTAGAAGGGACCCCTGCTGAGAAAAGACTCGATTTGATTTCTATGCTCAGCACTCGTTTTCCAAAAGAACGGAATTACCTGCTTAAGCTTCAGGTTTCTAACCTGACGGTTTACGAACCTAATCTTCATCCAGCAGGGGTTCATGTTTTCGTTGACATGTCAAATGTAAAGTCTAGCTCTGAAAACCTCTTTGGTGATTTCTTACTAACCCTGCATATTAAACTAGATTTCGGTTGGATTCCATGACTGCATCAAACTAGCTCGAGATGTTCCTACTTCCAGTCGTATTCCTCGCATTCCATTGTCTTTCCACAACTTCTCTATCATCCTGGAAAGAGGCCGATCGACGAGCAAAAGGGTCTTGGTCGGTTCTGACCGGTTTGCAGCGGTTGACGAAGCTGAAGCAATTGGTTACGAGATTAATATCCTTGAACGAGTCCAAAAAGCGAAAGATTTCTCACGCAAAAAGTCCTCAGGTGGAAATGGGAATGCTCGAAACAATGGCACAAGGAGCATCGCACAAGGGCAGTCCAGTGGCTCTGAAACGAACGCTGGACCCCGTCAAGAGCGATGGGTGGAACAGGGAGTAGACGAAATTCTACACCTGAAAATCCTGGAGAGCATAGTCGATTCCGAGGCGCCCTCTACCATGGTACTCGCAACGGGTGATGCAGCGGAAGCTGAATACTCAGACGGGTTTTTGAAGATGGTAGGGCGTGCGCTGCAGAAGGGATGGGGTGTCGAACTTGTGAGCTTCAGCACCACCATTAGTCGCGCATACAAGCGGAAGGAATTCCGTTCCCAATGGGGTGCACAATTTAGAGTCATCCGGCTAGATGAATATGTTGAGCACCTCCTGGATGCGTGATTATATCCCTGTGCTATGACCGAGTGTATTTGTTACCTGACGACTGCTTTTGCATTCTATGTGAGATTCCCGCCTTTTCCATCTGGGCATTTGTGCTTCATTGTGGTGTTCTGGAGGATGGCGATGTGACTGTTAAGACCATATTGTGGGCGGTCCTGTCGAAACCTTAATTGCTATTCTGTTCGAAGTATGACGGGAGCAAAAACTTATATGGCTGTTAACATCACTCTTAGATGATTTTCCGCGCTTAGGCACTACTGGAGGCCCAAAATTGGAAGATCTAAGGCTGCAGCTAGTTGGTTTGGCATCTGCACTGGTTAACCATATCCCGCAAAACAAACCTACCTTGACTTGAACAATTCCTATCACAAGCTCATCTAGTCCCGGTCCGTTGTTGCATAGTTTGGAGTTTATACATGCTTGAGTTCCTAGCAATCCTTAAATGAACAACATTTAGTGACATGACAGTAATTTTGTGGTGATGCTCATTGTAGAAAATATTTACTACAAGTGCCACCGCTTTATCCTGATATTTAGAATAAAAAAAAAGATAATAAAGTGATAACTATTTGAGTTTGGTGATTAATAATGTATGAAATGCTTCATCAACATGATTCTGTGGAGAAGAAATAATAAAATCACTAATTTGTTCAACTCAGTTATACTATTATTGTTTACTCCTCTTAATGAAGAGATTGAACTGCTGTTAGTAAACAATCAAGCAGGAATTAACGTAGTCCGACACCTAACCGATCACGACACCTAACCGATCAAATTTTCGTCCCAATCACCCACTCTATTAAATCATTCAATATGACAGCCACACCTAGCAAAGAACCATTTAATCAAGAAGCCAGGCTCTTATTAGCTATTAAAGATTATGAAACTAAGCAAATTTCATCTATTCGCGTTGCTGCTAAGACGTACGAGCTTCCTTATACTACGCTTTACGATAGACTACGCGGTGGAACCACGTACACGAATGCTCAACTAAAAAATCGAAAGCTGACCTCTACTGAAGAGGAATCTCTAGTTCAATGGATACTCTCTATGGATGAGAGAGGACAGCCTCCCCGGATCGCGACCGTACGAGAAATGGCTAATCTACTACTTGAGGCGCGAGAATCCACTACTACAACTACCGTGGGAGGAAGATGGGTAGAAAGATTTTATACAACGGCATTCTGAACTAAAGACGAAGTTCTCACGCAAGTACGACTATCAGCGAGCTCAATGCGAGGATTCAAAGATCATATACGAATGGTTTACCCTGATGGATCGTACGATAAAGAAGTATGGAATTACTTCAGAGGATATCTATAACTTTGATGAGATTGGCTTTACAATGGGGGTTATTTCAACATCCTGGGTGGTTACTAGAGCTGAGAGAGCTGGCAGGCCATCTCTTTTACAGCCAGGGAATAGAGAATGGGCAACTGTGATCGAGGCAGTTAACGCTACGGGCTGGGCTCTACCTCCTATGATTATCTTTAAGGGCAAGCTTCATCAAGCCTCCTGGTACAAGCAGCTGCCAAAGGATTGGACAATTGGCGTTAGTGAGAAGGGATGGACCACGGACGCTCTTAGCCTTGATTGGCTGCGGAAGGTCTTTAACGGAGCTACTAAAGCTTGTACGAAGGGCAGATATAGACTGCTTGTGTTGGATGGGCATGGCAGTCATGCCACGGCCAGATTTGATAAATTCTGTCTGGATCACGGCATTATATCATTATATATGCCTCCACACTCCTCTCATTTATTACAGCCACTAGATGTGAGCTGCTTTTCACCATTAAAGAGAGCGTATGGCAAGAGGGTGGAACAAAGCGTGAGACTAGGAATCAGTTATATTGACAAGGAGGACTTTCTAGCCAGCTATACAACAGCTAGACAGGAGGCTATGAAGGATATAACTATAAAGAACGGATTCAAAGCCACAGGCCTAGTGCCATACAATCCAGATGAGGTTCTTACTCGCCTACATACTCAATTTCATACTCCTACCCCCCCGGGTCAGCTCACGGATCTCACGGATCTCAATCCTCCTGGACCCCCAAGACCCCTCGCAATGTGACTCAGTTGGAGCGGCAGAGCAGCAGAATCAAACGCCGTACGGAAATTCTCTCTAGTCCTACAAATCAGGCTCTTGATCAACTAGTGAAGGGATGTCATACGGCCATGCATAATGTTGCTTTACTGACCAAGGAAGTCATGGAGCTGAGAGCTGCCAATGCTAAGCAGAAGCGTAAGAGAGAGAAATCACGTTTCTATATAGCTAAGGAAGGAATCCTTACGGCTCAAGAAGCTCTAGCTAGGATGGCTAAGCCTCTGGAGCCTCCTGAACGTACGGAGGTTTGGATGGAGGATCCAAATCCGGAAGGTAGAAAGCGAAGACCTCCCACCTGCAGCAAGTGTAATACACCCGGACACACTATTAGGCAGTGCCAACAGACCTAAGGATCTAATCTATATAATTTCTATATAAAATCTCTCGTGGTTGTTGCTCAATTTAAAAAATTGTCAAATAAGGATGAAAATTTGATCGGTTAGGTGTCGTGATCGGTTAGGTGTCGGACTACGTTAGCTAAAAATAGAAGAAGTGACCAACCTCTTCATTTAATCATGCCGCTGCGCAACCCACACCTCGTGTGGGTGCGCCACACCAAAATGATAAAAACACTGAAATGATAAAAATCTTGCAATTTCATCATCTTCATCATCTTCATCAATTAATAACTCACCACAATGTCAAATAAGGATAAAAATACCAAAGACTATATTCAAAAAGCTGTCGCTTACCACCAAAAAAACCCAAATTCCAAAATACTACCTCTGTCATGAGAATTTGAGGTTCCTTATCAACATCTCCAAGCGCATATCAATGGAAGGAATCTGAATACTGCAAAGATTCCAGTTAACAAGAGATTAAATGAGAGTCAGAAGGATGCAATTAAATGATGGGTCAAGCTGCTTGATGAAAAGAATTGTCCTCTCATAACTGAACACATTGAAGATTTTGCAAATTCAATGCTCAGATGTTAGCATATAGATTCTACTACCTCTCCTTCAAAAGTCAGCAAGATGTGGACTTATAGGTTCATTGAACACCTATCTTAGTATAAGAGTGTGAAACAGAAGCCAATGGATTCAAAGAGAGTAGCAGTTGAAGATATTGAATATATCAATATATGATTTGAATATCTTCAGATTCTATTTGAGCAGTATCAATTTCAGACCTGTGACACATACAATATTGATGAGATTGAATTTCAAGAAGGACAAGAATGTGGAGAATGGGTTATAACTGCTTTTAAAGAAGCTAATTCCATCATTTCTTTATCCTTTTCAAGAGGTTTGATTACAGTTATTGAATGTGTATTCATAGATAATCATATCATTCTATTATTAATAATCTTAGCCTCCAAAACACACTTGAAGGATTGATATACACAGAAAGATTTGTTCAGTAATTATAGAATTACTATATCAGATACTGGATTTACAAGTGATGAGATTGGATTTGAATAGCTCAAACATTTCAATACTGCTATAGAAAAGAGATAGAAAGGAAGTCATCAATTGCTTTTAATGAATAATTATGAATCTTATATCACTGAGAAGTTCATATAATATGCAGATCTTCATAAAATAATTCTATATGAATTTTCATCACATGCTACTCATTTGCTACAACCTCTAAATAGTCTACCATTTCAGCAATATAAGCATTACCATTTAAAAGTAGTCAACTATGCTGCACGCCATGGTCTTGTTAAGTATGAAAAATGGCAGTTCCTACAAGACCTTTCAGCTATGTGAAAGCAGACCTTTAAACCTGATACAATAGCTGCAGAATGGGCTCAACATGGCATATATTCATGGAATTCTGACTGAGTTCTTGACACTCTTAAGCAGCAAATCTCATCACCTCCTCTACTGCAGATTTATGAAGATGAGAATGATTCAGATCACATACTTATCTCTTCCTCTCAGCTATCCTCACCAAAGACAATTCAAAAGCTGAAACACCATGTTAATATTGCAGAAAACACCATACAAAGTATTAGAGATACTCTTAATTTGAAATCACCCACCTTGACATGTTGTTTGAACAAGATATTCAAAGTAAGTCTAATCAATATAGAACTTAATGAGCAACAGATCACTGAATTAGAGAACTTTCTCAATGTCAGTAAACACTGCAGAGCTAAAACAACCCATCACCAGGTTCAAGTAGGGGGAGTCCTCACTATTAAAGATGCCAATAGAAAAATCAAACAGTGTAAGGATAATGAAGCTGAAAAAGAGCAGAATAAGAAGTGACAAAGGCTTGGAGTTGGTCTCATGAAAATTGACAATAACCCACTCACACTACTGACAGAAGAGGAATTAAATCAATTTAGAGATGGCACACATACTGAGAATGATGTAGATAATCTTTTTATTATAGATTAGCTACTGGTTGTTGATATAGAGTGCAATAATGAGGATGTGATTCAAGATTTTTATCATTTCGGTGTTTTTATCATTTTGGTGTGGCGCACCCACACGAGGTGTGGGTTGCGCAGCGGCACGATTACTCGTTTTCTGGATAAATCCGTTTTTCAGTCTTAAATAAACCCCTGGATACTCTCCATTCTCTCGTCCTAGGTTTAAGTTTGTCGTTTCCCGCCTATGATAGTTAAATTGCCCTTCTCATTCATATTTCTCAATCTTCTCCACATCAGATTATTGGTCAAAATCAACAGACCAAGCAAAGCAAGTTACAATTACATGTCCATAGATTTACGTTAAATACCTCTCCCCATACCATATCTCGGACCAAACAAATCGAAGCTCAAACCGTTCCCCCAAGAGAGTCGTCATGGAATTTAGAAATATTGAGCTATTTGGGGGAGCCATCGCTATAGATTTGCCCGAGGACTTCTTGGATGTAAGGTAAGAGAGGTAAAGAGAAATGAGTCTGACACCTGATCCCTGTGACTCTTTTTCAAGTCTGTATTATCCCTTGGTCCTCATTTCGTTTTCTTTCTCTTTCTTCCTTTTTTATTTTTATTTGTTTTTTGGTACATATATTCATGTATTCCTTGATTACATGGAGCTCTGACTTGCATGAAGAGTGATGTGTTTACATTCCAGCCATGATCAGAATCTTCCACTCTGCTTTGCTATACTTGACTGCAACTTGGCCTCCGCATCTGTTTATCTTGAGCATGATGGATGTGTCTTCAACGATACCGGCAGCCAAAACCAGAGAAAATAATAATTAATAACCAAAATCATTATAGCGACATAAGGCAGGTCCCGGATAACCAAGAAGTTTTCATGTCCCAAGACACACAAACAAGCATCATCATCGAAATAGTCGAACGTCTGGAGCCCGAAAAGCTCCAACTACAACCAAACGATAACTCAAAGACCAATCCTGACCAAGAAGAAGTAGCCCAAGACATGCAGGCTGTGAAAGCCCACATCCATGAAATCTGCGAAGTTAGTGGAGACAGCTACGAACTCATCTCCAGTACAGGACCAATTGAAGTGCTTAAGTTACCCAATACGCCAGCTTACATGGCTCAGGCACGCATTTTATGTTCTGTCAAAAGGCGAGGTGGGGAGCCGGCATCAGTATCAGCAGCAGCAAGAAGAGTTGCCGTGTCTGAAGGAATAGAAATAGACGAGGAAATAACCACACAGCCAGAAACAGCGACGTTGACATGCCATTTGCTCCTGATCCGTTTAAAGGAAGAAGAGACAGACATCATAGCTTATGTCGTGATGCCGCATAAGGAGCTTGAGAGAGATGGTGGTCCGGTCGATGCGAAAGCTGATGAGATAGCGAGCGCGATACTGACAAGGTTGTCGGCGTCGTTTGACGTAATGGATTATTCACTTTTTGCGGGACGGTAGACTATAGGTTGAAGAGAGAGGCCCACAAAGTTTTGGGGATGACAGGAAGTTTTTTTTTCTTCTCATGGTGGAGTGCGGGGGCTGCGTTGATAGGGGAGGCTAAGGAGAGCAGAGGGACTATATAAAAAGATACGAATGAAAAGTTGAACTCCAGCTGCTGGGGTTCTTTCGCTTAGGTTTCATCTGTGGATTCACTGTTTCTTGGTCTGTCTGCATGAGAGGGATGGTGATACTCGTCGCAGGTTCTGGATTTGAAAGGATTTATTTACCTATAGAATTCCCACGGACAACACAGTTTCAGGCAACAGGTATGACATTTCCCCTTGTCGGTATCTGAATTCACATGGCAGGAAATTCTATGATGGAGCAAAAAATAGATTTACACAGCCGCATGGTCATTCTGCCGCTATACTTGTAGTAAATATAATATTCCAAATGTCAAGAAGGAAGATGATAAAGCATTCATCAACTAGTTATGTGAAATTTACCAAAGAACAGAACCTATGTTCACGAAGATGTTGTTAGTGGGTAGGTATCAGTGAAATAGAGGGAATGATGAAGTTAACATGAAGTTTGCATTTTCTTTGACAGTCAGTTTGCAGTTATGTAAAAGACGCAGCCAACAGGAACAGAAAGGTTATACGGAATATTAACTAACCATTTAGATAAATATTAACTTAAGTGGTTGCCTGTCTCCCCACAAGATAGATATGGTGTATGCCTAATCAGCCTCAACAAGCTGCCCAGAGTTGGCGCGTGTTTGTCATCTAAGACTTTCAAGATCTCCCTTCTTCGGCAACTAACCCAACAACTCCCCCCCCCCAAACACAACAACATCATCAGCAACTGCCTTAGCAATTCCCACCTTTCTACTTTTATGTCTGGAGGTAGATACGATTGTCAATGACTCTCAGCTATCCCGGTGAAAACGTCTTTCGTTCCGTTCCGTCTCCGTCTCCCTCTTCCTGCGGTCCTGCAAGCCAGCCAAGTGATCCAACTCAGCCTTCCGAGGACCCTAGCACCCCACATCATCTACCTATGTCTGACTCGCTTTGCCACTCTCCAACTACACTAGCGACTGCCCGCACAAGTCAACAAGCCTGCTCCAGCAGAGCACTATCCTGACCGGGGAACAAATCTTCTTTTCTCCGTCTCGAGCATTAGCTGCGTAACTTATCCTGTCTCCCAAGTTACCTTCCACGTTTTTCACCACGCCGCCCCAAGCAAAGAAAAGGAGTGCGTGCGAGGCAGTGGTTGACAATACAGACAAGGACTTGCGATCAATCATCACGGGATCTGACAGAGCAGCAGTCCGCAAGAGGGTCGGGCGGGCCCTTGAGGATTCGGGTGACCCGTCTCCTACCCCAAAAAGGGTTCCTGACCTTGCGACACCCGCTACCACTGAAACCACTACCAGCATGGATTCCGAGGAAGAGTTAATTAGCGATGGCTCGAGCCAGGAGCATATGCTTGATATGCAAGGGAGTGATGACGAGAGTTTAGGGGACGGTAAGCTCAACAAACATTTTGTTTTTCTTTTATCTGTTATCTTCTACCTTAAGACCTCATTGGTCTGTTTGCATTTTACACTGTTGCGTTTTGGGCATTCGAAATGGTACCTGATCAAGATCTTGCCCGGTTCTAATAAATGGTTATGCTCGCTTTGAGTTGCAGATTTTGGCGACGATGACCTTGGCGGCTCTTTCTACGATAAAGAGATTATCAAGCAACCTCGAAAACCCTACGAGGTCGACTTTAAGGTCTTGAGCCCCGAAGATATCCAACGAGAACAAAATATGCAAATAAATGAAGTTGCTTCGATCCTGGGACTACCCCTGGAATCAGCAGCTATCCTATTGCGGTTTGCTCGCTGGAATCGGGAGAAGTTGATCGAATCGTATATGGAAGACAATGACAGAATACAGGAAGAAGCTGGTGTTGGAGCGGCATTTTCAGGTACCCCGAAAACTGAGGTCATTCCCGGATTCGTGTGTGACATTTGCTGTGAGGATAGGAAAGGTCTGGAGTCATACGCCATGCGATGCGGTCACCGGTTTTGCGTTGATTGTTATCGTCATTATCTTGGTCAGAAAATTAGAGAGGAAGGAGAGGCTGCCAGAATACAATGCCCCCAGAACAAATGCCATCGCATCGTTGACTCCAAGACTTTGGATTTATTGGTAACGGAAGATTTGCAGGAGAGGTCCGTATGCTTCTTTTAAGTTTAATTCCCTTTCTCAAACGTTTTATAGAAGTTAACAATGATATTTATTCCTGTCATGCAGGTACCACCGCCTTCTAATTCGTACCTATGTGGATGACAAATATAATTTGAAGTGGTGCCCAGCACCAAATTGCGAATTTGCCATAGACTGTGGCGTGAAAAAGCGTGACCTGAATCGTGTTGTCCCAACTGTTCATTGCAGATGCAGCCATAGCTTCTGCTTTGGTTGCACTCTGAATGATCACCAGCCACCTCCTTGCTCATTGGTCAAAAAGTGGCTGAAGAAATGCAAAGATGACTCCGAAACCGCAAACTGGATATCTGCGCACACTAAGGAATGTCCGAAATGTTCATCCACCATTGAAAAAAATGGCGGCTGTAACCACATGACGTGCCGAAAGTGCAAGCATGAGTTCTGCTGGATGTGTATGGGGCTGTGGTCTGAGCATGGAACTAGTTGGTATAACTGTAATCGCTTCGAGGAGAAATCAGGGGCTTCGGCCCGCGATGCCCAAGCTCGTTCCAGACAATCGCTCGAACGATATCTCCACTACTACAATCGTTATGCGAACCACGAGCAATCCGCAAAGCTGGACAAGGACCTTTACCTCAAGACTGAGAAGAAGATGATGAGCTTGCAATCCCAGTCCGGACTGTCGTGGATCGAGGTTCAATTTCTTGACACCGCATCCCATGCGCTTCAGCAATGCCGACAGACATTGAAGTGGACTTACGCTTTCGCTTTCTACCTTGCCCGCAACAATCTGACGGAGATATTCGAGGATAATCAGAAAGATCTAGAGATGGCAGTCGAAAGTCTTAGTGAGATGTTTGAGAAACCCATTGATCAGCTGTCGGCTTTGAAAATTGATATCCTGGACAAAACCGCCTATTGCAACAAGAGACGTGTCATTCTGTTGAGCGACACTGCGGAGAATTTGAAAAACCGTACGTATCCGACTGCCTAATCTGATTGTTCTGCTATTTTGCTCATCTTGTGATGATCCCCCAGTCTCCAGTTCTTCAAAGCATCCAGTGACTGACTTTAATTTAACAGAGGAATGGACATTCAATGTTGATCTGGACAGCTGAATATATATCACTGTAATTAACAGCATGCGACTCTTGAAATAAATTTCACTGTGACATGCTTTAGTTTTGCTATTTCAGCCCTTTTCTCTTCTTCACCCTCACCTTTTGTTTCTTTTCTTTGCTTTTCTTTGCCTTTTACTCCTATTTTGCATTTTTCATGCGTTAACGCTAAGAACTTTATCATCGGCTGGGTAGGTGTTAGGAGATTTGATGGGTGCTCATTCTGCCAGTTTCATTGCTCTTCATGGTTGACGCATGCATGCATCCACATACATACACAAGTACAAATAATAGATTTAAAAGACCGAGTCAGAAGAGGCTGAATGAAGACATGCTTATCTGATAAGTCTTATCTTGTACAGTTTTTCATGTTAAAATGCAAAGCCAAAATAAAATAATAAAATTAATAATAAATAAACAAAAACAAGATCATACATTGTTATTATAGCATCACATGAAATACATCTGAATGTTAATTTATCCCCTTCTCACTTTATTTTGTTGAACGAATAGATGAATAGCAGGTCTCACTATCACATGACCACAGCCCCCCTTTAAGTCCTTCATTTCCAACTTTCGTCGTCTCATAGTTTCTCATCGTATTACTCTGCCAGTATGGTATTTTCATTCAAGATCTTTATAAGCTCGTCACCGTGGAGATTGCGAGCCCCGACCCAAGCTGAACCTTCCCCCTTGCCTTTCTTTCGAGATGCCAACTGGATATGGTTTTCGACAATCAGAAGAGGCGTTCAATGTATTGTGACAAATATTGTTGCATGTGGAAAATCAGCAATCTATGTGCATACGGGAACTGGGCTATTTACTAAACAGTTTCGCAGTGTTCGCAGCGCCTTTTTCGTCACACTTTGTTTACATCATGTCAACGATGGGCCGAGGAATGCTTGTCTCATTGTCCAATTCTCTCGTCCCCCAAGTGCCATAAGCTTTTGCAAAGTTAGGCTGACCTGGCTTGGTCCAACAATCTACTTACTACTTTACCTGAGATTGAACTGCCATGAGAGATATAGGATTGCGTTCCTCCTGAAATTACCATGTCTGATTTCACCGGCAATTGATCTCCTGAGTGAATGATGTATGCTGTTAATACCACTTTGCTAATGTCGCAGAGCGATCTGGTTGCTTCGGGCGAGTGAAACCTTGAATTCACACTGATTAGAACGTTCAAGTGGCTTCAAGCCAAAATATTCTTCCTGGGCATTGATTTTTGAGAGCAAAACTCTCGCATTGTATACCAGGTCGAGGTTATCTTTTCCTGATCAACTGTCGATGTATGTATGATGTTGCAAATATTCGGCAGATGAAAGATTTGCAACCCTTCCATGATCCCCTTTCCCCCAGGCTTGTCACCGTTTCAAAACTCTGGCAGGTAAACGAAGAGGCAGAGGGGGGTGGTGGTATCTGTATGGAAGCACATCGTTATACGGAACTCGTTGTTCAAGGCGGAGCTGGCTCAGCTCGACTGGCTGTAAATGGGAATAACATTGAAGCTGAGAGTTATTCTCTATGAGATGGAAGAGGAGCCAAATTGTCCGAGTGCCGCAACGTGTGACTGCACCTGTAGAAGTGGAAGAATGTCGGCATAAATACCTCCTGACATACCCAGATTTATCGCTCCGGTCATGGAAGGGAAGCCTGGCCTCTGTTGTGCGAGGCATAGCTACAATGGACGCCGGGTTCATCATCATAGAGCGGTATAAGGCGTTGTCTGATCAAGGGCAGTCAGTTGCCTTGATCCTACAGGTAGAAAATCCCAAGAGGAACAAGGAGGTGGAGACGTTAGAACGGAGCTCGCGGGAGCAGGAAATGCTCACTAATCAGTTTCCAGTGGGATGCATGAAGTTTGAGCCGAGAATAATACTACCAAACTGTATTAGGAAATTTAATTATTTAAAGGCAAGTATATTAGTTTACCGTATCTAATTTGGGCTGGCGATACCAGTTTGAAATTTTTGCACTCCGCGGTTGTTGAACCTTCACCAGTTTAACTTTACAAAATAAAAATGTGGCGCCCGCAGGATCTGATAAGGGAAAAAAAGAAAAAACGTACAAAGAGGACCTTTTTTTTTTTTTCCCGCGGATTAAAGGGAGACAGAATCCGGTCGATATAAGTATCACAAAAACATTGACCAAGGTGTGGAACAAAAATGGATGCTTCCCCATAATTCCATGATTCCATGATTCCATGATCCTATCAATTTGAATCTCCGTATCAGAAAAGAAGGCCGACGCTCTCAGCACTCCATGCACAGAGTAGGTTACCCTCTCAAAGCATCACAAGTGCACCGTTGCCGATGGCCACGAAGAGCCCTCTGAATTTATCATTTGCTTCACTTTTCTGACTCCTAAACACAAAACTTGGGGGAGCCACAAGATGTATGATCCTTGACGCTTGGCGTATATTAATTATCTTCCTGATTTCTGTACAGTGAGTGTGTCAGAGCAGGTTCTCGGCCCGTTCTGATTGGAACTCTCTCACTATGTCCAATGGGCACAGCGACCAAAGTCCAGAATCCAATAATTGCTACTGGCAGATTCTCTACCTGCAAGACGACTGAGAGACGGATCCCGCAGCCATTCCTTCCAGTGGAAGTGTCTTTACGGGAGGTTGTCCTTTCATCGAAGCGTGTTGCGGGGTATGGAGTAAGCAGCATTCGCACTGCCCTCCAAACCAGCGTTTTGGGATCTGCACCTGAGACGAACTTAACCAGCCTGTTTTTTTTTTTTTTTTTTTTTTTGGGGGGGGGGGGGGGGGGGGTTGCCTGGCGCCGGGATGTCTGTTGACCGCGGTGACTTGCAAAAAAAACCTTTTTGGTTGATGACAGCACGGAATGCGCTGTCACAAGTCTGATATTGCAAGATGCTGCGAAAGAGCAGTAAACAGCGGGAAAAGATGAGCCGCGAGAGCGTGCTGTTGAATATCTGTTAAATATTCAGGAAGAAGAATATATATAACATATGCTTTTCTTCTCGTGTTAGTCGAGGAGAGTGGTAAATATAACTTGGGAATATTTAAGCTTTTGAAAAATAGAATCCAGCCATGGAATGTGTATGGAGTTGGGGAATATTTAATAACATAAAAAAATTGACTTAAGGATAGCTGTATTTTGCGTGTGAAAAATGGGGATTGTACCGGTCAGCAATTAAGTTGCACCAACCCGTCACTAAAATAAGCTGTGAATAATTGGTTAAACTCATCCAAACCCGCCACAACATCCATATTCTGCCAATTTTTTGGAATCCTTCCCATCGCCAGTTCCCGACACTTTGCTGCCGTGCGCCCTCTCTCCTCTCCCTCTTTGATGATAATAACACCTGCCGCCATCATCGCTGGTCGCCACCTCTACATCTCCCCCGGTTTCCGCGATTCAGCAACCGTGAGCGTCCAAGTAGAATCAAGCAGCTCCGGCTACTCTCAGAAGCCTTTGATGGCCTCTCCAGACAGAGTCCCCGGTGAAGATTATGAGTACGTTACCACCATCCCAAGTCCACAGTCAAATATGCGGAGACTTAGGGTTTCTGAGACTTTGCGCTGGTTTCCTTCTTATTTGCCTACGCTGACACTTCCGGTCTCCCTCCTTTTTTCTTTCGGGCCATATGCATAGTTATGAAGCTCTCCCGCCAGAATATTCCCTTGGCCGTAATATGTTGGCCGGTGCCCTCGCTGGCATTGCGGTATGTGCTCGTTCCCACCGCGGTTCTTGTTGAACCCTCCCCCCCGGGGTTTCGCAACCTCTTCCTTCTCCTCTGAATAGCGGCCAATTTTATGTGAACTGACAGTTACATTTTAGGAGCACTCTGTCATGTATCCAGTGGACTTGCTTAAGGTATGAATCGGCATTTCATATATTTCTCTCCCGCTTCCATCGCAAAGTTTCCTTGCCTCTATGCGCCTTGCCTTTTGCGATTTATCCGCCCGCAAAATCCGCCATATATTCTTCTCTCTTCCTCTTGGGTTCGCCCAACTCAATACGTTGCTATTTGCTAACGGTTGTGTTTGCAGACTCGAATGCAAGTCCTAAATCCGTCTGCTGGTGGGCTGTATACGGGTTTGAGCAATGCTGTTACAACGATATCTCGGATTGAGGGCTGGAGGACTCTATGGAGGGGTGTGTCGAGCGTGATTGTTGGTGCTGGTGGGGAGCTCCAATTCTAATTCCGTTTTTTGAAGTGGCGCAGATTTCCTCTGCGTAAGTCTGCTCTGACGTCCTGATATTGATCTATCTTGTTTTAGGTCCCGCCCATGCTGTTTATTTCGGTACATATGAAATAGTTAAGGAGGTCGCCGGTGGTAACATTGGAAGTGGTCACCATCCATTCGCAGCAGGTAGGTATCAGCGCTTGGGGGGATTTTCAATTCCTATTTCCAAAAAACAACGATAACACGGGATATTTTGGTGCTCTATTTATTTCAACATTGGGACTGACAAACCATTGTAGGATTGAGCGGAGCATGTGCCACCATCTCCAGCGATGCCCTCATGAATCCCTTTGACGGTATGGAAACTCCTCCCTGACTTGTCACCGCAAAATATTCTAATATGATATATCGCGCGTAGTGATCAAACAACGCATGCAGGTCCACGGCTCCACACATAGAACCATGATCCAATGCGCGCGAAGCGTCTACCGCACCGAAGGCCTTCGAGCATTCTACGTCTCCTATCCCACAACATTATGCATGACAATCCCCTTCACGGCCACACAATTCATCGCCTACGAATCCATATCGAAAGTGATGAATCCATCGAAGGCGTACGATCCATTCACCCACTGTATCGCTGGTGGGTTGGCTGGCGCTGTGGCAGCTGCCATCACCACACCTCTTGACGTGATCAAGACTGTGCTGCAGACCCGCGGTCTTGCGGAGGATTCTGAGGCCCGCTCTGCTCGTGGCTTGTTCAATGCTGCTGGCATTATCAAGCGGCAGTATGGCTGGTCCGGATTCCTCCGTGGAATGCGGCCGAGAATTATCGCAACCATGCCTAGCACTGCTATCTGTTGGTATGTGTCATTTTTCTTCTTCTTTTCTCTCTCTCTCCCTCTTTTTTTTTTTTTTTTTTTTTTTTTTTTGGGGGGGGGGGGGGGGGGGGGGGGTCCAGCGTCAGCTTCAATTGCCCCCCTTGTCCTTTTCTTTCCTTGACATTCCTGCGCGAGTGCAATTCTCGAATCTGACCATCAAATAGGACTTCATACGAAATGGCGAAAGCATACTTCAAGCGACAGGGAGTATCTGAATCTCCTCTCTCGTGAATACAATATAATCGGGAAACGCGGGCTCCTCTCGTGTCACCATCGCGACTCCTTTGACCGACCTGCACATAAAAACACCCCCCGTGTAGAGATAGACACACAGGCCCGGTGTCTGAATATCCATCCCACCGTTTCCCCCTTTATCCCGATTCTATACTATCATATCGGTTTTTTATTTTTTATTTTCTATTTTTATTTTGTTTCTCTCCCTCCAGTATTCTTTAAGTGTGTATTACAAAAATAAGGGATGAGATGGAACGTCCCAGTTAGAATGGTTTCGTCTTCTGGTTTCCCTTTAGCCTGTCGTCTATAATTTTCTCCCACCGTTGTTTTATTTCTCTCCCTCTCCCTCTCCCTCTCCCTCTTTTTCTTCTTTTTCTTCTTTTCCTTTTCATTTTTTTCATTTTACCTGGATCGATGACAGTTTCTCTTGAAGGTGGGCGTTCTGGGCATGGAAACAAAAAGATAACGGTTCTCTGATAATATGCGGGGACATATGTCTGTCCACCTCAATAGACAATGATGAATGAAGCTCATATTTTCGTTTTTCCTTTTTGTACTCCCGAATTCATCTTATATTTTTTATTTTTTATTTTTTTTTTCATTTTTACTTTTATATGTTTCTTTTTGATGTAAAGTAATCTTTTTTAGGTTTTGTTTTCCGATTCCCGTCTTTTTCTAGGGTTTTCCTCTCCTTACTCTCTGGCTGGTTAAGTTCGTCTATTTCCGTTGCCTGGGAGATTATCAAGGGTTCGCTGGGATTTTTTTCCCTTCTTTTTTTGAGAGTTCGACTCCATGGGAAAGCAACTTGTTTCCTCCACAGCAGTGTACCCTCTGCTGTTGTTGGTGATGCTGTGACTTCGGTTCGACAGCCTTTGCTCGACGTGCTCCCAATGTCGCTTCGAGGGGATGGATTGTTGGTGATTGTTCCATTTTTTAGGTTTTGCAGCCATCCAATTGTGTTGTATAGTCTTATCCTGTTTTCATGTGAGAGGGATCATGGAAAGCCTTTGCTTACGGGGTGGATTTGCGGATATCCGTAATAGTAATCCCCCTTTCCCTTGTTTCTTTAATCTGGTTTTCGAAATGGTGGAGCTCTCTGTTGGGCGGGCAAATATGTACTGTAGCGGAGGTATATAGAGCGCAGGGTGTACCAATGAGATATGCTGCTTTTAATTTATTTTACATTTAGTGATTTATGATGCATACATTTAGACTAACCTATTTTCATACGGATTATAGGACAATAATTTAATTCTGATGTTAATAAATGCGATTATTCTCATACCCTCTGCCCCGTAACTACTTGCACGGCTACCCGTGGATGGATGTCTATTTAAACAGCTCTCGATGTTCTTGGTTCCTCACGTCATTTACTCTCCCACAACACATGTCAAACATTGCCTCCTGGGGGGCCAACTCCAATTCCCTGCTCTACTACAGCATTCTAATATTCCACTCATTGACATACTTCTCCTGGTAAATGAATCTTATCTAGGCCCAGCCTATCTTCAGCTGCGTCGCTGAGAGGAGGCGTCAAATGCAGTGGAACGGGTCAACCAGCTGAACCATAGAGAGAGGCTGTCCTGAAGACTCGGCAACAACGCAAGCTCTTACGAAACAAGGCCAAGGCCATCGGAATAGAAAAAGACGAAAGCCATCGCTGTACTTTGAATGCTTCCAATAAGGGGACTCGACAGTTATACACACCTCTTAGATATCGGGGAGGGCTTTTGATACTAGATACAGGCTTCACATGGCCGGGAGGGTCCTGCTATCTCCATTGCGCTAATTATGCGTTCAAAGACTTTATCTACTCTGCAGAAAACATACGATGAATGCTATCTGATGTGCTCGACAGCTGTGTTCTTCGAAGGCCAGGTGCGTGTTCTATCGTTGACTTACTTGATGTGTGTTTGGAAGGACGGCTTATCTCCCTCATTGCCTTCCGGTCTCTGACAACCCCGTCATGTTCTCTTATATATCCCATCACTATTTATCTAATTTAGCATCAGCTGACATCCCAGCGGTCGTTGCTGGACCAGAGCAATGAGTCGGAAGCTCTTCGGTCATGGCGCTCTGCCGTTGACACCATCCACAACTCTCGAATTCCCTCTACATATGTTCCCAGAACTGAAACCGAGAAGGTCCTGTACGATTCGCTGAAGGAGCTGGAAATGCAATCCAAAGAGCGCATCGATTTGCTAAATGCGCTGAGTGAAAGTCGTGAAGAGGCCGGCATCAACCAGGAGGGCTGCTATGAGCAGGCGGGACCCAGCAATTCCCCGGGCGAGCAGGAAACCGGGAAGGTACACCTGAACACACCGGAATCACCACCAAGCGGATGTACCGCTTCCGGCTGGCTTGGAAATGGTACAGTGCCAACTTTTACATACTCGCAACTCTCGCGACCGCCTTCACGACCTCCTCCCCCTTCGCCGAATAGGCGGCCGTCTATACCTCAGCGATATAGCGGAGAATCGATAGCACGGCCAGGATCGAGCGGGGAGGCTGCTTGTGGACCCCGTTTCTCTTCTTCTCCATTCCCATTGCTCCCTCCTCTCTTGTCTGTGCCAACCGTGAATTCGCCATTAAGAAACTCAAGTCCGGAAAAGAGGACTATGTTGACAACTCTGCGCAGCAAGGAGCCTAAGAAGAGCGCCAATTTGAAAGATAAAGATTCCGGCGAGCGGGCTGCCTCTCAACCTGCTCCATCGGCATCTAGAGCTGCGGGTTTGGCGTGGAGCTCTATTGCCCGCTTTGGCAGAGAAAGCGCGGCTATATCCACTCCTAGGAGAAGTGCACCAATAGAATCGAGCTCACGGAGAGGATATTTCTCCAATATCGACCTGTCTCGGCATACAAAAACATCATATTTCCCAGACTACCTACACTCATCCAGTTCATCAACCTCTCAGTCCCAGTCTAGAAACCATCACAACTCGAATATTGTTTCCAGTTCCCTAGCAACCGATGCTGCAGCCACCGCCATCCACAATAAACCCTCCGAATTAGATCTCCTGATTGACCTCTCTGACCCTTCTCCAGTCAGCCATACGATGACGAACGCAAAAAGGACATCGCCCAATACTTCTACGTCGTTCCTGTCTACAAGGCCAAAACATCAACCGGATTATTTGTCACAATTAGATCCATATCTGGAACAGGGGCCTCCCTCTGGACAAGGCAATACCCCTCCCCTTCAACGCAATAAGCCATGTTCAACTTCACAGCCACAGTTACTCAGGCATCACTCAAGCGAAACTAGTTACACACCCTTGCAAACGCTCGCAACTAGCTCGGGGACACCTGTGGCCCAAAATAGAGGCCGCAGGCCATGTCTGTCGAATTCCAGGCTACAGGCAGGCAATGGTGATGATGCTTTGAACGGTGCGATTAGTAGCATGCGAAGTGGTATGTCTATAACACAAGGGAAGCCGACAGAGAGAGCGGGGGCGGAGTCCCATTCTCAACCTAACGATCGCTCATTCCCCAATGAAAGAGATACGTCAGATACCGCAGATCGCAATCGAAGCGTTGAATACGTTATGAACAATCTCCCAAAGGGCATTGATGAGGGCGCTGCACGACAGATCTTGAACGACGTTGTTGTTAAGGGAGATGAAGTACACTGGGATGATGTTGCTGGGCTGGAAATTGCTAAAAACGCCCTCAAAGAAGCGGTCGTATATCCATTTCTACGGCCAGATCTATTCAGTGGACTCCGTGAACCTGCTAGGGGAATGCTCCTCTTTGGGCCCCCAGGTACGGGGAAAACCATGTTAGCGCGTGCTGTGGCAACAGAGTCGCAGTCAACCTTCTTCTCGGTATCCGCATCAAGCTTGACCTCAAAATGGCACGGCGAGAGTGAGAAGCTTGTGCGTGCCCTTTTCGGCCTGGCAAAATGCATGGCGCCATCTATCATATTTGTTGACGAGATTGACTCTTTACTCTCCGCACGGTCCGGGTCTGGTGAAGCGGAAGTGTCACGGCGCACTAAGACGGAGTTTCTCATACAATGGTCTGACTTGCAGCGGGCAGCGGCTGGGCGGGAGCAGTCAGAGAAAGAGAAAAGGGGTGGTGATCCAAGTCGGGTGTTGGTGCTTGCTGCAACGAATTTGCCGTGGGACATTGATGAGGCTGCCCGACGGAGGTTTGTGAGAAGGCAGTATATCCCCCTGCCAGAGCCTGAGGTGCGGAAGACGCAAATCGAGCGTCTGTTGAGTCATCAGAAGCATGAGCTGTCGGCTGAGGATATCGAGGTTCTCGTTAAAGATACTGATGGTGAGCTTTCTGATTACTACCTACAATTTCTTCCTTCCCTGATCCCGCACTATCGAAACAATACGAAAAATTGCGAACCATTCCCCATATCTCCCTCCAATCAACATTCCCAGTCCATTCGCACATAGTCACAGTTCCTAACGCATATCCCATGCTCAGGTTTCTCCGGCTCCGATATAACCGCCCTAGCCAAAGACGCTGCCATGGGCCCACTCCGCAACTTAGGTGAAGCGCTCCTGCATACCCCCATGGATCAAATCCGGGCCATCCACCTCGAAGACTTCAAGGCATCTCTGTGCTCTATCAGGCCCAGCGTTAGCCGTGACGGTTTGAAGGAGCATGAAGATTGGGCGCGGGAGTTTGGTGAAAGGGGTGGCTGAAGATCGGTTCCGTTAAAGACGTATCCATACCTTTTGGTGAATGTTGAAAGCTATTGTTACTGCTCTACGATTTGATGTATGACGGATTGGTGTTTTGGTATAATTTTATAAATCTGACGCAAAAGTTAGATGAATGGAGTGGTGATGGCTCTGATGGATCAAGGCTTGGCCCTTGATGTGGAGGGAATGGGTTTCATTCCATCTCTTGCGCCGTCGTGTCTTTCGTATGCGTGGAACTTGGTAGGGGGGCAAACGTCATGAGTGTCGCTTTGGCTTGGCATTTTGCTCTCTTCCATATCAGGCTTTTTTCGATATCCCGGTCAGGCACCCTATCTTTCTACGGGGCGTCTGTAAAGCATTTACGTGGGTTTGGCGTTAATTGGTTATGTTTTTTTGCTGTTTATATTAGCATCAGTCCTTTCTTTCTTTGCATTGTTGGATTGCGGTCGACTTACTCTTCTTTAATATACATTACATTTTGAAGATTAATCATATAGGGATTTCTTTGACAGCTTCGAATGACTTCTTTTGATTATGACTGTTGAGCAGTTAAACCATGGTATATGTATGTACATTTGAGCTCTCCCATTGGAAGATATGATGTCCATGAATGTTGACAAAAAAGAGAGGTGGAGCCAAGAAAGAAATGTCAGGTTTAAATGCCCTATTCTGAACTAGACGTACTGCACATATTGAGACGAAATGAAGAGAGAAAATTACAAGGAAGGAAGCCGCCTTATGCAATCACATATTCACTCAATCCTCCCTATGGATTGATTGCCGACCATTGGCATCCATTCCTCCTCCGCTAAAATCAGCTATTCAGCACAACCTCATCCCAAAACCACGAATCTCACTCTGCTGCCCCTTTCTCCGCCCTCTTCCTCTCAATCTCCAACCTCATCTCAACCAACCTCTTAATCCTTCCAACCCTCCTCTCCTTCCCCTGCTTCCTCTTCTTCTCAGCCTTCATCATCTCCCTCTCCTCATAACTAAGCACCCTGGGCCTCTGGTCCACAGGAATCGCAAACGGCGCCACAATCCTCTCCACAACATGCCGCACATTCTTGCTCGTCCGCCACCCGCTCGAGAACTCAATTACATCTCCCTCACGCAGTGAGTTGCACGGGTCGTGCACTAGGTATATCGTCCTGTCCGGGAAGTTTTTGTGAAGCTTTTTGTGGTAGGTCGAATGCTTGTGCAGGACGCGGACGGTCTTGTCCATGCGTCCGGCCGCGACAACTGTGCCGAGCTTTACGGAGTGGGGAGGGCGGATGCGGACGTGCTTGGGTTCTGTCAATGATGATGATAATGATGATGATGGTGGTGGTGGTGGTGGTGGTGGTGGTGATGATGATGATGATGATTGGGTTGTCAATTGTGGTGGTTGTGTGGTGGTAGTGGTGAGGCTCCGGCGGGTAGTTTGGGGGCTGTGAGGTTGCAATTGCATAGCGGATAGTAATGAGGATACGGGGGTGACGAGGGTAGCGGCATTGCGGCTTTGGAGGAAGATGAACGGCCGCGTGGAGCACCGGAGAAGTGTGGTTCTGGGTGTCATTGTTGCGATTCTTTCACGCTTGGCTATTGGAAGCGGATATTTATTCTTCTCTTGTGGTATGCCCTCCTGATCGGCTAGCCAGAAATCATATCAATCAGGTTTTAGGCCTTTTTACATGCTTCTGGATGTAATTGACGTCGAAGGTTTCTGGTGGTGGAAGAGTGGATGGTTCGATTCGGGGACCCAAGCTGGGCTCGACGTGGCCCTTGCTAGGAATTTGGTGGCGGGAACAAATAGCTTAGTTAATTTGAAGATACACAGTCTGTCATGCCACCCGCAACAAGAAAATATTGCTGTTGCCATCCAGTCTTCGCGTTCACCATGTTTCTCGGATGGAGAAAATTTTTGTGGAGTTGGAGATCACGTGAGTGTAGTTACTCAGTGCTCGTTAAGCCAATTCAACTGCATTCTGGGATAGATTATAACCTTGGAAGGGAATGCGTAGATGCTGTGGAATACGAACATTAACAAGTCCTTGAATCAATACAGGCCTTATGTATGTACAAAAATTGCTGGCCCGTGGGGAGAAATATGCTTATTGACATTTAAGGGATAACCCAGTTCAAACGAGGTTGAAACAGGAAAATGAGACAGCTTTTGAACGAAAGCATTAGTTAAATAACGGAAGAGGATAAAAGGTGCAGAGAAATAAGAAAATAAGAAATAAAAATTAAAAACCAGCCAACCGAGCCCAAACCAATAAAGAAAAACTTAACCATTGCACATAAGTTGCTAATGAATAAACACCCTTCCTCTTCCTTTTTACATCCATATATGCCTCTCGCTCATGCAATGTAGCCGTAACGCGTTATGATACTCCTTCAACCTCTTCTCGCCTGTGAGCCATGCTATTATCATTTTCTCTAAAAGGACTTTCTTCCTCCTCTCCGAATTTTTTGTTACTATTTTGGTTTGACATCTTCAATATCAATTTCCGTCAGGCGTCGCAGGAGGTATGTCATTCTCTTTCCCATGGGACAGGTCGCTAGGTATTGCTGAGGTGTTTCTGAGTCGGAGCTTCTTCTCCCCGTGGGCTGAGATCCTTGTAAGCTCTGAGACGAAGGACTGTCCCCAAAATGCACTATGATTATTAAAAAAACCCCCTTGTTAGCCAAGGGAACCAAATCCATGAAAGAGAGCCATCCATTGATGCAAAGGAGGAAAGTATTAACAAAGAGAGAACAAACCTTGTGTATTTCGAGACATATTTGTCTAGCTTGGAGAAGTTAAGGGCACGCTGTTCATCGCTCATTGTCACCGCCTCTTGGAAGGCATTGGCGAGTTCTTCGGTATTCCACGGATTGACGATGATGCTGCCGTTGAGACTCTGTGCCGCGCCGGCGAACTCAGACAAAACTAGACAACCGTGTCGTTTCTTTTGGGTTGCTATGTACTCGTAGGAAACAAGATTCATACCGTCCCTGGTCGACGAGACGACGCAGACGTCCGAAACGGCATAAAGAGCAATTAGTTCGTCGAAGTTCACTGACTTATGCATGAAATGGATGGGCATGAATTCCACGGTGCCTTTGTGGTTGAGAGTTAGAGTACAGTTACTAAAACAGAAAGGGGGAGGAAGAAACAGAAACTTACCAAATTTGCCATTGATTCTCCCAACAAGCTCATTGACGACAGCTCGTAGATTTTGATATTCCTCTACATCTTGTCTGCTAGGAACGGCAACCTGAACAAGAACCACTTTGCCAATCCATTCTGGGTGATCGGTCAGGAAAACTTCAAGGGCATGTAGCTTTTGCGGAACACCCTTGATATAATCCAACCTGTCTACCCCGACCATCAACTTGACACCTTGGAACTTTTGTTCTAGGGCAGCAATCCTCTTCTGTACCTTCTCCTTTTTAAGACCTTCACTGAATTTATCTGGGTCAATGCCAATAGGGAATGCCCCTACTGCAATGACTTTGCCTTGAAATTCAACGCCATTTGGAGTCGTCGATAGGCCACTGGTATTTCGAGTCAGCGCTCCGGACTAGTTATGATTCTAAACGTGCAAGGATTCTCTTACAGTATTCTTGAACAACTACTTAAGAAGTGTCGTGCATAGTCGTAAGTATGGAATCCAATGAGATCACAGTGCAGCACTCCCAGAAGCAATTCGTTTCTGACTGGCAAAATTCGATAAATCTCACTGCTTGGGAACGGTGTGTGTAGGAAGAACCCGATCTTAACATTCTTTTTCGACGTCCCAATCTCCTCCCGTAACATCGCCGGCAGCAACATTAAGTGGTAGTCGTGGACCCATACGAGGTCACCATCTTTAACATCATTCGCGATTGCCTTCGCAAAAAGGCGGTTTGCGTCACGATATGCAAACCACGCTGACTCATCGAACGTTATTTCACCAGGATGGTAGTGAAAAAGGGGCCAAAGTATCGAATCTGGTTCATAAATTGGTAGAAAAGATGATTAGGAATTGATATCACAATTTCTCTTTCTTTTCTTGTTTGGGCGAGGGTTTGCAGCAAACAGGGCTCAAAGAGGGTATAGGAAACAGCTGGACGACAACGAAAAACCTACTTGAAAATCCGTTATAATGTTTATCCGCCAAATTGTCATCAATAAGCACAGGCACTGCATCATATTCGTCGGCTAATCTTTTCTTAAGCAGAAGTATTTCGTCCTCCGGGACCTGCAACCCAGGCCACCCGTACCATTGGAATGTTGTTGATTTCGATAAGCCGCTCAACCCGCTGACAAGACCTCCGGATGACATTGAAAACTCATATTTGCCGTCATCGGACCGTTTTATTGTAATGGGTAGGCGATTGGAAACAAGGAGCAACCGGGCATCATCTTTGGAGGAGTTATCGACGGAGGGCATGGTGCAAATGTCGGCCCAGGATGGCCGCGGTGGGGCAAAGATGTTCAAGATACTATAATAGAAGCTGAAAAGCGGGAGCACCACTTGAGCTATTGACCGTAAAGAGAAATAGGGTTAGGTTAAGGTCGTTGAAAGGGAAGGGAAGGGGGAAAGGGGGGGGTGGAAGGGGGGGGGGGGGGAGGAGGGGAAGGATTCTAATAAAGGTACTGAAATTGAAAATTAAGTGATGCGAAGGGATGAATGGGGACTGGTTTTCTATGAAAAATGGACCGGGAATGAAAAATAAAGTCCCGG